GCAGATATTTGAGTGTGCTCATTGAAGTACTCTATACAAAATCAAGTTTTTTACTCAAATTTAGACTCAAATTTGAGTCTAAATTTGAGTCAAGGTTAGAGATGCTCTTATAAAATAGATTGGGAAAAAAAGTTACAAATCTATGTAACAAATAAAAATTAAAACAAAAAAGATCGTAATTTAGACAAAAGTCTAGAAATCATCTCTTCTCTCTCTCTCTTTATATATATATATATAATAAAGCAGTTTATAATTCAAATTTCAAAAAATAAACATAATGACTTTTGCTACTCGCAGTTGAGATCGTTTTAAATTTTATTTTAAAGTTAATCTAACTACTAATATTAACATCCTAAATATAATAGGAAAAATAGACTACTAAGGGTGTGTTTGGAGTGACTTTTTAAAAATACTTTTAAAAATTATTTATCATAAATACTTAAAAAAAATAATGTTTGAAACTACTCCATTACTACATCTACCATAAACCACCACCACCGTCGCCGCCACCACCACCGCCACCGCCCCCACCACCACTATCACCGCCACCCCCCACCACCACCATCACTGCCACCCCCACCACTGTCGCCACTACTGCCACCACCGCTGCTACTGCCCCACCCCACTACCGTCGTGGCTATCACCGCCACCATCACCACCGCTGTCATCATCACCGCTGCCACTATCACCGCCACCACCGTTGCTGCCAATATCACTACCACTATCGTCGCTGCTGCTGCCACCACCATCACCATCGCCGCCACCACGATCATTGTCACCTACCACAACCATTACCATCTCCTACCTCCACCACTGTTGCTCACCACCACTATAAATCGATGTTTAAATTCTTTGATCTCTTCTTTATATTTGTGATTTGATTTTGGATATAAATATAAATATATTTTTTGTTTATCATTTTTTTTATTCTGTGCCTTCAGGCACGGGCAATAACTAGTTTATATAATAAAGTAGCTTATAATTCAAATTTTAAAAGATAAAGAAAATGACTTTTGCTATTCGTGGTTGATATCACTTTAAATTTTACTTAAAGTTAATCTACCGGCTAATATTAACACTCTAAATTTAATATAAAAAATAGGCTCCTAAGAGTGTGTTTGAAGTAATTTTTTAAAAGTTGTAACGCCTCAAAACACACCCTGAATGACATTACATTCTAAAACCATTCATATCATGAGAACACTAATATAATCCCTTAACAAACAAGACTTCATTTGTCATTCACGAATATTTACAACATTATTCAAAAGAATAAGCCCAAGTCATGGCTATTAAATCTCAAAAATTAATTAAGGAAGCGCAGCGGAATAAACAAAAGAAGCTAGACTACACAATGTTCCAAAAGAATGTCCTAGTCTAGTACAAAAGGAAATGAGGTCACTCTATGCGTCCACCTCGGGATCCACACTCTTGTCCCGTTTGAGTCTCAAGTAGCGGGCTCCTCGATCCTTACGTCCTCCTCCTCAAGCGGGTAATCTGAAAAATGTTAGCGATGGGGGGTGAGCACGAAACTCTGTAGAAACATTCTCTCAAACTCATATAAGGTTTAGAAAAACATTTAAAACGGTCGGTCTTAATTTTAACATAACATAGACACATAATTTGAAATAAAACAGTGACATTTAAAAAGGATTTCAAGTTTATTTAAAAATATTACTTAAATGAATAAATGAACATCACATACAAATAATAACAATTAATTGTCATAACCAATTTTCAACAATTCTTTCGATAGGTGACATACTTTGTGGTAACCTTCACCCCCCCTTTTAGGTCACCTTTGATTTTCAAGCATCCTTACCGGGAACCTCTTGAAAATGGATGAGTATCCTTACATGGAACCTCTCACCAATCACTACATTATTTCCCAAGCATCCTTACCGGGAACCTCTTAGGAAGGGGTGAGCATCCTTACAAACAACCTCTCATTCATATGCATCATAAACAACCCAATCAATCATAAAATTCTAACATATATCTCAATTTACAAGCATCTATCCAAAATTTCCAAAATATATCATATAACAATTCCACAACTAACTAAGAAAATACATGAGATCACAATAACATCATTTTTTTATCCAACACAAAGCACTAAGGTTTTGAAATTCATAATAAAGAAAACATTTAGGAAGGAAATACATCACTCTTCAAAAATTAGGGTTTTAAAACTAGAAAGGAGATTTCATGGGTATTAAACCCTACTTTGTTCAAAACATGTAATCTTTACAAAAAGCCTAAGAGAAGATGATTCCAGAGCATATATATATCATTGATAGCCAAAACATACATATATAAATATCCTAGCCTCAATGTAAGTGAATAAGAGAAAACTCCTACCTTGAATCCTTAGCTTTGGAGTGAAGAACAAGAATATTTAATCTTGAATCACCCTTGAATCTCTTGTTTTTCCCTTCTTTTCTTCTTCTTTAATGCCCTCTAAGGTTTCAAGAGATGTGGGGGTGTGAGGAGAGTGAAGGAAATGAGAGAAAATGAGATGAAAATGAGTTTAAAACATAGCAGTCCCGAAAAATGTTGTTCACATGCTGTTTTGGGTTTCTCCAAATTTACGGTTTTGCCATTAAAAATCTCCAATTTGATCCATATGACTACCCTAAGGTTTTTCGACGTTCCGGATTCATTTTTAATGTTATTTTAACCTAAAAACATTTATTTTTATGATTTATCTCAACACCCAATTCAACGTATACCCAAAACACTAAAGTTTCTATTTTATCCATCCGAATCGGCTATTAATGAAGTTTTGCGATGTTTGCAAATAAAAGGTGATAAATGGTGGTTCTTCAAGCCTTTTATACTTATTTGAAGCCTAAAAGTACTCATTATTTTTATATTTTGATTTTGGATGCAAATGGAGACATTAAATGCAAAACGAAACTAATTGGACTATTTCAACATCATTTTGTTATCTGAGCATAACTCTCTCATCCAAGTTCCGATTGAGACGATTCAAGATTCTATGGAATGATACGAAAGAGCTTTAAAACTTTCATGTTTTGAGTTTTGAGAGATATTGACTGCATCAAGGTCTAAATCGAGCTTGAAGTTACAGCAGTGCACTGTTCATAGCCTGTCTTCGTCCCTTTTCCATTTCCAATCCATTCCTAAGCCAACCAAATCTATCTCAAACCTCTCCAACACATATTTCTATACCAAACCTATTTAATACAAGTTCTAGGACCTAAAATTTCATATTTTCACTTATTAAAATCAAATTTCAACTATTATTTTCACTAACATTTTATATCTCTATTTTTTCAATCTACCAAATTCAAACACACATCACTACATATATCTACATTTTCTTTATCACAATTATTTATTATATATCTATCTACATATATAAAAGAAAATGCGGGGTGTTACAAAAGTACTTATACAAATTATTTCTCATAAATATTTTTTAAAAAAATAATGTTTAAAACCGCCCCACCACCACCATCATCATCACCCCCGCCGCCACCACCACAGACGCCTCCACCACCACCGCCACCGCAACCATTACCGCCACCGCTACCACGGTCATTGCCATCCATCACAACCATCACCGTCTCCTCCCACCACCACTGTCGCCCACCACCTCTCACCCTCACTACAAATCGATATTTAAATTTTTTTTATCTTTTCTCTATGTTTGTGATTTGATTTTGAATATGAATACAAATATGTTTATTGTTTATCATTTTTTATTACTCTGTGTCTTCAGGCACAGAGAATAACTAGTATATATATATATGACCTGCTAACTGAAACAAATTAGTAGCAAAAATCTACCTCTAAGATGAAATTCACTCCTGTAATAAAGATCTTTAAGACATATGGGTCCTTTCGAGACATCTTTCATGTAACATAAATGGGAAGCCTTTCCATCAACTTATATCCGCCACCTAATTACTCTAATATGATTAGACAGAATTAGCTGGATTTTTCATTTGCTCGTGTTTGTATGCATTGCATAATTCAGTGTGATCTAAATTGGGGCACAACTATAATTTGTTGTTAACCATTTACGATCCACACCATTCATCCATCCCTAAACTAAACACACCAAATATCTCCTTAGAATTCTTGAAATCGGACTAAAAAAGCCATCAATCTATCTACAAGATCATCAATCACAAGTAAGTAAACAACTAACTGGCCGGTGACTATCGGCAATGACAATGGTCGGTCCATATCTGGAGAGAGAGAGAAAGAGAGAGATGGATATATGGTGGGAATCAATACCTGTCATAGGGTTCTGATTTTGTTGCATAAACAAACAACCTGGGCTGTTTACTAAGAGAAAATGAGCTGAAATTGCCAAAGGAAACCATGTGCTTTGTCACTCCTCTAACACATGCACCAATAGGGGGTCCCACGGGGCATCCATATCACAAACCCCTCTCTAATCCTTAGTACGGTTGTCTGGTCCATTTTTAGATTCGAAATGAAAACACCAAAATAATTTCCCTCAAATCTGTCCTTCAAAACACTGTCGGTATATCTTTCACACCTCCACATTTCTTAATGATGGACCTCCCACCATTCCACCCACAACAGCACCATAATCTCTCTCTCTCTCAGAAACACGCACACACGCGCGCACAGAACTCACTTCCGCAACTGCATTCCCCAGTAAATGGCAGCCACTTCAAGTGAAAATTCATGTAATCTTTCCATCGACATTTCTCTTGTTTTTATTTGGTACCGTACCTTGTTCAAACACAACAAAAAATTCCACTTTCACCTTTTTCCCCTAGCTTTGATTTCAACCCTTAATGACACACTAGTCACATAATCTTTCCACACGCACTCAATATATATCAAAAGCAGCATCTTAATGAAAAAGTGGGAAAGAGTCATTACCCATATCACCAGCCAACAGCTTCAGTATAAATAAACTCTTCCAGGAGACTTAACCACACAGAAGTTCAACGCATTCCACTGTACACTTGAGCCAAATTCAAACTTTCAGAATGTCATTTTCTTGTTCAAAAAACTTCTTCCAACGGTTCTGTGTTGACGAGTTCCATATGAATACAGGTAGCCACAGTGGCTTCTTCTCCAGCGATCTCCTCCCATCTCTAGGAGCCACAATCAACCATAAAACAAAACTTCGAAGATACATAATTTCTCCATTCATTCCCCGTTATAGGTACTGCTTGATAAATTAAAAAAAAAAAACCAGTGGCTTCTTCTATAGCCATGCTACCACTCACTAGGGTGCTGTTCGAAAATAAAAACAGGCTTTTTCTCATTTTCTGTTCTTCATTTCAGGGCATGGGAGATATTCTTGGTTGTGCTGGTGATTTACTCGGCCTGGCTCTGTCCATTTGAGTTTGCATTTCTGACATACAAGCAAGATGTGCTTTTCATCTTCGACAACATTGTCAACGGCTTCTTTGCCATTGATATTTTGCTCACTTTTTTTGTGGCATATCTTGACAGCCAATCTTATCTTCTGGTTGATGACCCCAAGAAAATTGCAATAAGGTCCACAATCAGCATTTCACCATGCTCTTCAGCCAAACAGCTTTCAATCACAAGTGCCCTTTTTCTTTTAACAGAGTAATCACTGAACTTCCATTATATAATCTTATCCTGCTATAGGTACATAACAACCTGGTTTATTTTCGACGTCTGTTCAACGGCACCATTGCAATCTATCAGCCTCCTGTTCACAGATCAAAGTAGCGGAATCGGCTTTAAACTACTCAACATGCTCAGACTTTGGCGCCTCAGGCGAGTCAGCACCCTGTTTTCAAGGTCCATCCCCAAAGTCAGACGTATTTTTGGTTTCCTTAAAATTAGGACTAATAATGCTTAATAAACAACAATTCCACTGAGCCTGTTTGCTTTCCTTCAGACTTGAGAAGGACATCCGATTCAACTATTTCTGGACTCGGTGCACAAAGCTCATCTCTGTAAGCGAATAAGCACCTTATTAGATTCCAATCAGAAAGCCTTATCTAGGTTAAATTAGCCACAAAAATAATGCATTTGCTCCCTTCTTCTGTTTGAAATCAGGTAACTCTGTTTGCAGTACACTGTGCCGGATGCTTCAATTATCTGATTGCAGAAAGATACCCAGATCCAAGCAGAACCTGGATTGGTGCAGTCTTTCCTAATTTCAAACAACAGAGCCTCTGGGACAGATATGTTACTTCATTTTATTGGTCTATTGTGACATTGACTACAACTGGTTACGGAGACTTGCATGCTAAGAACCCAATAGAGATGCTGTTTGCTGTCTTTTACCTGCTTTTCAATTTGGGATTGACATCTTACCTCATTGGGAACATGACAAATCTTGTAGTCCACTGGACAAGCCGCACCAGGAATTTCGTATGTTCCCTCTCTTAATTGTTTTCTGCCTTTTCCCATCAGGTTCTTTACCTGTCAAAATGGGGAAATTTTCAAATATAAACTAGATTCAAAATGATCCAGAATAAACCCCAAGCTACATTCAACAGTTATTAATAAAGTTTGTAGTGTAACTACAAGTCTACAACAAGGATCAAAAATTTGTTCTGTTATTCCACTGAAATGATCAGAACGAACCGATTTCCATGGGAATTGGGATGTATCGGTGATTGGATATTAAAGTGTTTCCGGATGGTTCAATATATTCCAGCCAATGTTCTCGAAAACTATTTTCACTTTTGTTCTCTTCCCCTGAAGAATTTTAAATATCTCACTCTGCCGCCAAACTCTAAGTTTAACCACATTGCACCCTCAGTTTTTGATTTTTATGTCACCTTGCAACTTAAGTCAGCCATCTGTACAAGTCGACAATGGTAGCCACAAGCAGAACCATCACGTGAGTGGGTCAAAAGGGTATTTTTAGATGATTATCCAAAATAATACATGATGTTTCTCCTCTTTTTTCTTCTCTACCCACCATTGCCAGCTACGCCACCAACACCAATACACCAAGGCCACACCATCAACCCCAAAATCCGCGTACCCAAGGCAACACACTATTACACACCCACCTACATGTAAAACAAACCATCATTTTCTCTTCTCTACACACCATCCTCGGTCACACAGTTAACACCAAATCTGAAAAACCGAAACACCATTTTCACATACTCTCCAGTCACAAGACACATATAAATCAAAAAGTTTCCTTCGGTAGAATAAAAAATTACACATACATAGGATCAATTGGGGAGCTAAAATTGGCAGAGAGAATGGTGGGTTCGGTGTGTGTGGTTGGTGTGGCCATGGGGTTGATGTGGGTGTGTGACCGTGTGGCCCCTTGGGGAGGAGGGGGGTTGGTGTTGGTGTAGGCAGTGGTGATGGTGTGTGGCTGTAAGGTTAGTGACTTAGTGGTAGAGAAGGGTGTGTGGTACGGGGGAGGGTGGGTTAAGATTAATTGAAATCAGAATAAGTATAGCCAATTGGGTTGGGGTTGTATTTAGTCCAAATTGGCGTATCCAATTGACATATTTACCCCATACGAACAATCATGGGTCATTCACATCACCGTTTTCCATAGAAATCACTAGCAGCAACTGAGGGAATGTTCAAAGTGGAAAAAATTTCGAATATTGAAGAAGCCATATTTTCTAATACCAAACCAACCAATCCTAGTAAATTGCCATGCGTGTACACATATCCCAAAGAGACGTGTTCAAGAAGAAAAGAAGGATATAAATGAACATTGCAACTAGTAATGTAGGCAATTACTTAAAAGGAATTATTTCAAGCATCAGCAGCTTCCTATCTGTATCATAAATTACTTCTATTTCTTCTCCATATCTTGGAAGGATGTTCACTCAAATCCTATTTTTGTGAAACCTTCTGTTGGGTACTACAGAGGGAGACAGTCAGAACAGCTTCAGAATTTGCAAAACGGAATCAGCTGCCCTCACATGTACAGGATCAAATGTTGTCACACATATGTCTCAAATTTAAAACAGATGGATTGAAGCAGCAAGAGACCTTGAACAGCCTGCCAAAAGCCATACGTTCCAGCATTGCGTACTATCTCTTCTTCCCCATTGTTCAAACTGTCCATCTTTTCCAAGGGGTTTCTCATGACTTCCTTTTTCAATTGGTATTCTTCTTTTTCCTCCCTTGTTTTTCCTTTTTTTTTCTGTTTGCAAGCAAAGAATGCATTTTCCTTTCACAGAGATGATAAAACAATAGAGCAAGTTCATATGCGTGAGTTGTTTTTCTTTCACATAGTGGTGTGCATTACTTTTATAGTTTAATAATGTAATATACCCTTCTAAGAAAAGGTTTCTGAAATGGAAGCCGAGTATTTCCCACCCAAGGAAGATGTGATTCTACAAAATGAGGCCCCAACAGATGTGTACATACTGGTCTCAGGAGCAGTGGTGAGTAACCGTCATATAAATATCACCTGTTGTATGTGCATTCTTATAAATGCTTTCTTCTAACCTTTCTGGTTTTGGAATGATTTTTGGTGGCAGGATTTGATTGCACATATCGATGGGCACGATCAAGTAGGTCATTTCTACAATACTACATCCATTACTGGTTAAACAAGAACACTGTACAAACCTATCTTCGCTTTCTTACATACTGTTCAGGTCCTAGGAAAGGCTGTTGAAGGGGAAATGTTCGGGGAAGTAGGGGTTCTATGCCACAGACCACAGCCATTCACTGTTCGGACCACTAACCTCTCTCAAATACTACGCCTGAACAGGACTACAATGATCAACATGATTCAAGCAAATGCAGAAGATGCACGAATTATTTTGAACAATCTTTTTCGGGTATATAATATAATTGGACCCAACTCTGGAAAAGTGTTATATTACTCTTGTCCTTCCTCTATTCTACGACAACAATGGCTGATTTCGGTTTTTCCATTTACAGAAACTGAAAGATCTGGAATGCTTTGGCTCTGAACAACACATAGATCTGAGTTTGATCCTCAGTCAATGGCTTGATGAAGGACCAAAAGGAGAAAGCTGTTCTCATGCTGGAGATCCACTACTACAGGAAGTGAGAGCCATAGATTTACTTGATTCAGAAGCACGACATAAGACAGAAAGAGGAAAAGCTTGTAACTCCAATAGATGCAGTAAGGATGTAAATTCAACAACAGAGGGTGGCCAAACAACTCTTAACCTTGCTGTTCTCAAGGGGCAAATTGAAAAGGCTACGAACCTGCTGGAAGAGGGAGCAAATGCAAACAAACCAGATGCAAAAGGGTGGACACCAAATATTCTAAAAGAACAGACAGGAAACAAAAGTATAAATGACCTTATACTAAATTATGAAAATAGAGGGATATTAAGTGAGCACAGAATAGAGATTACTGAAACAGAAACCGCAGAAAACAATAGGCATGGACAATTCAAACCTACAAAAAATGGGGCCACTAATTGTTCTGACTCTTATCTTAGAAGGCAGACATTCTACAGCCCATACAGTTCTAGCTATCCGGCGGATACAAGAGTTGGAAGATTTCTCAAGAGGAGAGTCACCATTCACATGAAGTTTCAAAAGAAGAGCTCATCACAAAAGCAGCTTGGGAAGCTAATAATCCTACCTGATTCACTTGAAGTGCTGTTCAGCGTTGCAGGTAAGCTTTGCTTGACATCTCAGATAAGTTGAAATAAACCTGAAATACAGATATAGTTTGTTTGGCTCTAGGTTAGACTCAAGTACAAAAGAAAATGAAACTGAAAATCCAACATTCAAACAAAGGTCAGACCTTATAATTAAGAAGCTATTCTGACTCAGTGACAGCATGTTTTATTTCCTTTGATGCCTTATTCATTTGACACCCTATGCCTTGTGGAACTGCAGGTCAAAAATTTGGAGGCTACAATGTCACAAAAGTTGTAAATTCAGAGAATGCAGAGATAGATGACATAAGTGTCATTCAAGATGGGGACCATTTATTTCTTCTTACAGATGATGGTGAAGTCAGAGATTGTAATGTGACCTAATGAATAATGAAATGCTTTCTTGCAGACAGTGTAAAACTAGTATATTCAGGAAACCATAGAGGGACATATTCTAACAAATATTAATCAATAAAATTGGCCCTCTAAAGGGATACTGAGTCATATAAATAAATCTTTCAAATACGATTTCCCTTCTTTGGTATGACAAAAATGATGCAGATAAAACCACTGATAAATTGGGGGAAGAAAACATTCAAGTTGAACCACCTCTCCAATCTGTTAATATCTCACTACAGGCATCTTTTGCTTTGAAATGCAACAATGGAATCATGTGAACTTACAGTTGTATTTAAATCTAGCCCACTAGATAAAATTTTGAGTTGCACCCCTTTTTTTAAAATAAAATAAAATTTAGAGTTCCTGCAGGCTACATGCTTTAACTAGTATGAATGCTTCTGCTGCAGTCAAAGTATCACTCCCTAATAGTACGGTCTTTAACAGGAAATGCATGAGCTTCTATGTTAAAAACAAGGGAGAATTACACCTGGATCTTCTAAAATTTGTCACTTAATCATTCAGATCCTCTGATATTTGAAATATTACATACAGACTCCCTAAAATTTGTACGCGTGGAACACTTAGACCCCAGCTGTAAATATATTAATTAATAAATTATACTTAAATCTCCTAAAGTTTATAAATATATAATATTTAGACCCTATAAATTTAAAATATTATGTTTAGACAAAAAAATACTCCAATGAAAGATAAAATATCAAATATGTTAAATTTTACAATTAAAATTTATATTCTATTATATTATTTATTAAAATAAAATCAATTACATTGTCCATTAGAATTTAATTTTATCGTTAAAACGACCAAATTAAAATATCAAACTACCCCAATTAAAGTTAAAAAATATTGTGTTTGTTATAGTTTGACCTATTGTTTAATTTTTTTAGTTTTATTTTAATAGATAGTATAATTATATACTAACTATGATTTTTTTAAAAAAATTAGGCTTGTACTTTTCATTTTATTTCGATAAATGACATAATAGAACATGAATTTTGGATGTAAAATTCATGTTCTATTATGAATGACTTAGAATTTTTGTTTGATTTTATAGTTTTATTCCAAAAGATAGTATAATTGTATACTAATTATAATTTATTAACTGATGCAACAGGGGTTTAAGTATTACGCGCATACAAATTTCAGGGAGTTTGTGTATAATATTTTAAATGTTAGGGGATCTGAGTTATTAAATGACAAATTTCATGAGATCTGGATATAATTCTCCCTAAAAACAAATTTATCCAACAAAATAAGACTGCTGTCTCCAAACAGCAAGTATAAATTTTTCAGTGTTTCACCCAAGAAAAAGGCAACCACGTTGTCTCTCCTTTATAGAGGAAGCATGGTAACATCATCAATAGAGCTGCAACCGTCCGAATCAACCTTTGTCTATTTCTCAAACGCCTAAAAAATCTCCCAACCCATTCACGAAATTTGTGATATGAAATGGGAAGCTATCACATGTTAAGGTATTCATTTGACAATGCATTGCAATGAAAATTCCAAGGTAAAAACGTGCTAAGAAAGATCAATTCCACCGGTTCACGTAGTACACAACAGTTCCAACAAAAGATTCCTTAAAATACCGCTCAAATTCTTACTTACATGGTGCACAACAAATCACATTATTTCGAAATTCAACCACATCACATGTCAATACAGCAACAAGACATTGATGGAAAAATAGCAAATTAATCACTAATCTAGATCTTACAAAAAAAAAAAAAATCACCAATCTAAACAGTTTGCAAAGCTTCAGGACCGATCGTTTGCGAATCTCGGCACTGTCGTAATTCACATCCTTTACTGAGAACGGCAAAGATGTCAAAGTTTTCAATCCGATTACGAGCTAGGGTTTTAGCTCCTGATCCTCAATAACTCTCTAAATTACCCATAGATGGATAGAATTCGAGACAACAACGAGGGAATCTAGCGAGAGGAAAATTGCGGGAACTCAAATAGTGCTCTTAAAAATCTATTATTTATAATATAAAACAACATAATCTTGAATAAATGAATTAATCCATTTAATAGTGATTATTATCCTCTTAAAATAATTCACGTATCACAAATTACCCTTAATATTAGCAATAATTTGACTAAAAATATTGTACACTACAGAAATAAAAATTGAGCAATTGATTGTGTAATATAAATATTTTAAAAAATAAATTATATTTTCTTTTCTTTAATTACACTATTTGGTGGATTTGTTGGGATGCAAAAGGGTTGAATTTTTTATGTAGAAAGATATTCGTGTGAGAGAGTCATGGAAAAGAGATTAATGAGATGTGGGAAAAGATATATGTGGGGATTTTGTTTTTGTTTTTTTGTTGGTGTGCATGCAAAAGGGAGATTTTGAGTTTGAGGGAAAAAATTTTTGAGACTAAATTTGGATCAATAGATTAATGAGATGTAAATTGAATCAATCTCGGTCACTATTGTAGTAAGCTAGGTGAAGAATTCAAAATAGATTGTGCGTTATTGTATGAAAAAATTTTATCTACACCCTTGTAAATAAGTTTAATTTCAGTGCCAATTTTAAAATTTCACTGCACTCTCTTATAGTTTATATATATATTTTAACTACACCCTTTACTGTCACAAATTGTTACTGACAACTAAAAAAGTAATGATATCGTCTTATTTTATTTCAAAAATACTTATTGTACCCTTTCGTCTTCACACGACTTTTTTTTTTTTTTTTAAACAAAAAAAGAAAAAAATTTACTTATGAACAAACAAACATTACAAGAAGCAAAAGGAGAAAGGCGAACCAATCTCCATAACAAGCAACAAAAATTAAACAAAACTAAGAAAAAACTACTCCTCCGTCAGACAATCCCTTTGCTTTTTCCTTGTTACAGCACTCCGATTGCTGTAATTGAAGCATTAGTAGCAGGAAAAGAGAAGAAACCCTCAACAGCAACCCAGAGAAAACGGCATCACCAGCACAAAGGCTTCACCGAAAAATAGCCACTCTGTTCAGCCCAAAGATTTCAAACAGCAAAAAACCAAATCAGCCCATATCATCAAACACAACAACCCTCTTCCTTCGTAGCCCTGGCAAACCCTGAAGAAGAGCCATTCTAACTTCACAAGGCAGCCACAAACCTACAGAAAAATCTTCAAATCTACCAAATTTTACTGCATAATTAGCCAACCTATTAGCTACAACACTAGCCTCTCGAAAAACATGAACCAGCTGAAAATCAATTTATAGCAACATTTCTGAAATCTGACCCAGCAACTTTTGATAACATCAAGCACACTCACCAATCCACTACCACAACCCTTGCATCAACAACCATCACAAAACCTCCAAATCAAGTTGATATTTTTTTGCTCCTATCTCGACACGGACGGAAGGGGTTTGTGGAAAGAGAGAGAGAAGGGGGAAAGAAAAAGAGAGTAGGGGTGATGTGAGGAGGGGAAAATAAAAGAGTAATGCTGGATGAATTTAAAAATTAGACTTGATAATCTCAACTATTGAATAGGTAGTGAGTCCTAATAAATGTTGGGACTCACAATAAAATCAATAATTGAGATTATCAAGTCTAATTTTTAAGTCTACATTTTAAGATTATCGTCTTTATTTGTCTTCCCACCAGGCAACGAAACATCTCCTGCAACCAAACACAACCCATTTCGGTCTTCTCTCTTCAAAGCCAACTATGTTAAAAACCAAAATCTAATACATATACCATGAGACTTTGACCAGAGTGAGACGAAAGTGTTGAAGGTCGCTTGGTGAGAATTACACGAAGTTCACCATTTTCGCCTTCAAAGATGCAGATCAGAACTGCGACTCTGTTGGATCTCAATCTTTCACATTGGTTCGTAATTGGGTTTGTTGCAGATTCGGTATTCGAATCGAATTCTCTGGGAAACAACTTAGCTGATGTGTCTCGAGTTGTTGGGTCTTTATTGGAATTCTTGTTTTTGGTGTCGTTTAGAGGGTGAAGAGGCTTGTAGAGACTAAGCTGTTGCGCTAAGTCTTTCAAACCCCTGGGATCCTCCGTTGTAGATACCGGAACCCATCAACTATATGAGAGAGAGAGAGAGAGATTTTCTTTGGAGAATATGATCATGGACCGAATATATATATATATATAAAGTTTAAGGGTAAAGTGGTAAAAGAAGCATTTCTATCACGTCCGTTACTCGACCAAAACAGACAAGGAGTGTCAATGAAATTTCAAAATCGATAAGGAGTGTTATTAAAATTAAACTTATTTACAAGAGGTGTGGATGAAATTACCCTACTAGGGATATGTGTATCAATCACAAAGCAACATGTGTCAAAGTTAAGAAGAGATCATGAGCAGATGGATCATGAGTTGACGTGGTAGGACAGGCTCATCTTTGAAAGGCAAAAATCATCTCAAATGATCATGGAAGACATTAATAATGGTGGAGGGTATTCAAAACCACGAGAAAGCAAGACACACCCACCCCTACACTGAAGCAGTTATAATGAATCTTTATCTAAAAAGGACGAGTGACACCATAGAAGTCTGGGAGTAACCTTGGGGCAAATTACACAACCTATCTCCCTCATCGCATAAATAAATGGATAAAGATGGGTCCCATAAAGCATATTCCCAGCACAGCCTCGAGGGGATACCCTCGGAGAGAAACTAAAATTCATTGGATGCCCACGGAGGTAAAGTCAACCAATTGTGTACCAACAGGCTTAAAGGAATAAGATTAGGGTCATCGCTTTGAGATAAGGAAGTATAACCCTTCTCAAAGGAAAATTGAGCAACAAGAGCAGACAAGCATAATTGTTAACCTCGGCCCTGGGTAGGGTTTCGAAGGTTTACTTTGCTTGAGTAGATACTTAGTGTATAGCTCACTGCCAACTGGGTTGGACTGGACTAAGATTTGAAGGGACTTCTAAGGTACAAGGAGTTAATGGTCTAGATCAACATATTGGATGATGAGCTAAATAAATTAGT